GACTGGGACTCTGCGACATGTATAACGTATTCTACAGACTACTATCACAGTCTTACTTTAGAAAGCTGGTTTACTAACTTAGAACAAACGCCACTGAATCGTAGCCAACAGTTACCAGCGCCATACAAACGACTTATTGACGAGATCAAGCAAAACTAACTACGAGAGAATGACAATTTGACTAACAATAGACGACTGTGTAACTGTGACAATAGACGGATCGAAACGCACCAATCACTGATTACGAGTCTTCTTAGCCAATAACATCACGGCTTAACTGACAGACAACCAATAACTTCGCGACGTAATTGACCAATCAGATCAATAACCAGAGTATAATAGAATCAACTGACGTGATACAACTCACTTTGACTCTGAAGATGACTACCGCACAGGTTGTCGAAACGTCAGTCACTGTCAAAAGCAACAGTCCTACTCAGGACTACGTTCACCTGGACGATCAAACTCAACCTATTTTAGAAATACCCTTGTCATCATCAGAGTCTCTACTACTCAGAGCATCCGATTAGAGTGCGGAGGGTTCTGAGTTAGAATTCAGAATTGTTTTTTGGGTTCTGCCTGGTGTTTGATGCTCATCTACGTGATTTTTTAGTCTTAATAACATAAAACTCTAAAAAGAAAATCCTTTTCTTGATTTCAATTGAAGCAAAAATAGTACAAGTCTACAGGTTACGATGAAGAATCCCGTGAGCGAAATAAAAAGTGTTCTCATCCCAGTCAACAAGTTGTTGTTCTTAGCCTACTCAACAAGTTTCATAAGAGGAGGCTCCGCCCCAGGGTCCAACCCCTCACCCTTTTATAATATAATGTTTGACAGAAAGGATACCCCTTTTGTATACCTTCATTGGAAAATAGTACCTTTTTGACATAACTAACTTTTAATAAACCAAAATCCCACGATGGGCTCTTAGGCATGTCTTATTCCAAACTCTCAAAAAGGCACACTTTTCGGATAGAGCCTCCCCATATAGGCTATTATAGGGAGTACCCCTGGTTTTTTAACGACACACATTCTATTTTTTATTACCCACCGCTTGGTGGAGTCCATAATACAGTCAATAGGATTCTATTAAGGTCATTGACAATGTCAGGATCATACACTAGACTGTCCAAAGTCACATTTGTGACAGGTGCTGGCTTGACAAGAGCTGTAATACAATTGAGGGGTCAGTCGCTTACAACGATACAGCCTATATTGAACCAATAAAAATACCTAACTCTCGCCACAACCGAGAATTTACAGCAATTTGGCCACACGGATGGCAAAACGTTATTTTTGGGATCTGACAAGCCTGACATGTAAAACAAAGGAAAGGAAACAGAAAAAGGGACGATCGACTAAAAGAAGAGGATAGGACAAAAATCAAAATAGTTTTCCTGCTCCTAGTTTTTCATGGCTGCTATAATTTAGTTAACAAAAAATGTTTCATGGTTCTCCAAGATGCTAGATGATTTTCAATAATGTCAGCAGGTGTGTGGCCTTATCTTTAAAAAATGATCCAAAACCGATGGCACTTTTCAAACGATTGGCAATTATTCTTTGGAAACATCTGGCCAGAGGTTTTTAAAACCCTCGGACCTACAAGGAGGGGTGGATGTCAAGCCCTCTCTAAGGTTTTTCTCAGTCTTCTCCTAGACGATTAAACATAAGCTCCTGAAGTTTCAGTAGCTGTTTGTTTATCCCTCACAAGCATTTTGAGACAAGTTTAGTGATGGTCAGTTACTATGGTTACGAGTTATGACGTCATAAGCAGCAGGTAATCAAGCCATTTTTAAGTGATATTGTGGATAAAATGAGACGAATTACTTATTTATGTGTTATTCTACATGTCAAGCACAAAAAATGACCAATTCTCGCCGTTTTTACCAGATTTCTAATTCTAATGGCGGCCAAGATGGCGACCAAAAAAGTGGTGACGTCACAGGCCTCCAACAGCGCCACCACCGATAAAGTATACTTCGTCTCGTAGAGAAGGTCAAAGGCTTTCCACTTTTTCCACTAAAGGTAAAATATTTCGAAATACTGCAACATATCATTAGCACTAGGGAGGGATTCCATCAACCCCTCCCCCCCCTTTACCACGGTGGGGGGTATGACTTTCCGTGTACGTCCAAGAGTTAAAACATAGCTAGCGAACATTAAGACTGAAATAAGGTAAAAACGAAAGTTTTGCGGTGCCGCACTAAGTGCACGCTCACTAAAGCAGGAAAATTAAAGACGAGAAAAATTAAGGTAGAAAAAATAGAGAGAGAGCGGAGAAGGGAAGGGGGCAGGAGAAGAGAAGAAAAACGATGGTCACACGCAGCTTAGTTTTTATATTGCCTATAGTTTTGGGACGACTAAAAAGGACGGACAAAGGCTGTTTTAGCGTCACATTTTTATAAATCCAATATTAAAACAAACCACTTTCCTACACGATACATTTAGGGAAAGAAAATCTCCCACGAAGAGGAGATGAATAGTTAATTCATTTTCTTTTTCAGCATTACATCTCCTTTGTTCCTTTCCAAAAAAAAAAATTAAGATACCCAAAATTAAGATAATCTTTGAGGAGGAGAGAGGGAGTTAGGGAACACGATATGGATTTATTTACGTCGGAATTAATTTCTAAACTCTGATTTTCGGACTGACGGTGCAGGTTTACAAACAATATGATTCGACAAAGTAACAAGACTGGGTAATTTCTTTGAATGGCAACTGATCATGTACCAGGGGAATCAAGATCTATTTTAGCAACTCCATAAAATACTATTCAGCTTTTAATGTTACTTACTCGTTTCCACCGTTTGTTGCCCAACGCTTACAGATGAGTTCGCGGTAAGGACAGCCACTCTAAACTTGAATAATACTGGACTGTAGACTGGACGAAATGGAGGTGACCTGACGTAAGCGCAAAGACTTGGGAGTGATATTGTGGCCTCTGGTACAACAAAAACCTAGGAAACGCAATGAATTAGATGGACTATAAATAGCAACGATTAAGAAATGTAAACAAACGAGAGTAAACGTTCCAAAAACGATAGACTTTATTCAATCTACCTCTGACAAATAAACAGGCCGAAAAAAGTTTCGTCCACTTTCAGAAAACGACATTTCAATCATGTACACAGGGATACCAGTCGTATTTTGCACAGCCTCCCATTTCAAGCCGATGGAGGTCAAACTCCGGTTTGTTATTGAAGGTATTCCTGGGCTTGGGGTCGAGGAATTATCTCCATTTATTAGCGAAGACAAGTTTTTAACCTTGGTTAAAAACTCACAGCTCTCAAGACAGCTACTTGACGCTCTCTGAAATACAAAACAAATTCAATTGCTAAACGGCGAATTGAAATTATGTGAAATGACAAATGAGCTGAACATTTACAGTAAATTGGCACAGGTGTAGTGCACACGAACGTCAGGAATTTCCAAAGGTGTAGACACTTACGCATGTCTGTTTACATGCTGCCTCATCAGAATCAGATGATCCACATGGACCTAAGCACTAAAATTAAAGAAAGAGAAAAAATATCAAGGATAGAAAATGAATAATAATGTTAAATAGTGGATTCACCTATTATAAGTGTTTTCGATATTTTGTACTTTCCTTGACCCCATGAGATTGAATTGTGTTATCATTTTAAACTTCACTAAATGAAAATAATGCTACTTACTTCTTTACAATCATTTGTTTGACAGGGAATTTCAGTTTCATTGCTCGCCGGATTCTAAAACAAATTAAAGCGGAATAGGTTATAACAAACTTTAACCAGGGCCTATTTTATTGTTCTTATCGCTTAGGCTTCATTACCTTTAATCGTGAAAATCCCGCCAAACATATATCATAATTTCGTTTTTAACGCTTGTAATAAAGTACTGGCAAAAAAGGACTTCCTATCTATGAGAGAATTTAGCTCAGTGGTTGGAAGTCTTAATCCGTTGCCCACGAAAAGGTCAAAAGTCGAAACTGGTCTGATTTTTTTTGCCTGTGTATACTCTTCGCATCTTGGGTAGTCGCTTACAGGAGGATCGAGGGAATTTTCTCTTGATTCATTAAGCTACTTTAGAGTGAGTTAATTGATTCCTTTAGAATTCGCTTATTCGTTCATTCTTTCACGGCTATTGAAAAAATAAGGTTTGATGTTTATATGCGTTTTATTTGGATACAGACAAACATTTTTCTCACGGAGGTTAATTTGCCAAACACTATTAGATACTTCGAGTCCCCGACATTGAATATTTCACCCGAAACTGATTTCAAGGTTTTTGCTTATCGTTTTCCTGGTAATATCAATCATCGATTCTAACAAACTATAATCCAAAGTCAGCTCGAGGTAAACATTATATAGCGATCTTAAGAAAATATGAAATCACTTTTACGTGGACTGAAAAATATCGGTATGGGCTCTGAAAAACTGTATCGAAACACCTTAATTTAACCTCGAGAATTTCCTTTTCAGGGTTTATTATGTACAAATGCGATATCTTGTCTTTCTTTTCACACGCCACATAGAACTGTAAGCAAACTAAATGATAACTAAATTAATCATTAATCTAAACTTGAAAGGTACTTTCATTCTTGCTTTAGGCTCAAACCTCAAGAATATCCATATCATAAACTAACTTTTCTGACCAGATTTAGACCGTCCTTAAAAATCGACTGGGGGTGTGTAAAATGAAAAAAATCGAAAATCCCCAAACTTTGTCAGAACATAGGTCTAGGTAAACTATTTCTAGAAAAATATCTTTCAGTTCGACTGGATTTTTATTTTACGCGTACGGCGACTGTGGTGTACTGGGTACTGGCATTCGGGAATTGTAAGTTAAGCTGTGCCGATGGAGTAAAGAAAGCATGTTGACCTTGTATCCGACTGTGTGATTGACTTAGTATCTTCTGCTGTACTAAAACACTACAATGGCGACGAATACGGGATAAAATGTCAGAGAGAGCCTTTCCCCCGCTTGATCTATCGGGATCATCGTCTCAAGTTGCTCAGAAATGGCGAAAATGGAAACGGGCATTCGAGATAACGCCGAAGGAAAAGGTTTGGATAATACGCGAAAGAAAACTTTGCAGCTTCTACATTACGTGGGAATGGAAGTTCAGGATATTTTCCAGGATATTACAGACCCTGACCCAGTTAACGATAATCAGGATCCGTACGCTGTGTGCATTAGGAAACTGGATCACTATTTTCGTGCTGAAGAAAACATACCGTTCGAGCGACACGTGTTTAGGCAAATGGCGCCAAATGAAGAGGAACCGGTGGATAAACACCTAGTGCGTCTTCGCCAACAGGCAAGACACTGTAATTTTGGTGCTGCGTTAGAAGAAAGATTCCGAGACCAATCAATCGAGAAGTTAACCGATTTGGAGCTGAAAAAGAAATTGTTGGAAACAAGGAGAATCCCTTTGGATGCGATTCTCGAAAAAGCAAGAGCTTCGGAAGCGGCCAAATAACAAATGCAGTGTATGACGTCTGGAGCGAGTGTAAATGCCATCGGAAACAGAAAAGAAAAGGCAGGGGAAGAAGGGACATTTCGCTCGAATCCTTGTCCAGCAAAAGGAAGAAAGTGTGAAAAGTCTTTAAAATATGGACATTTTGCTTCTTGTTGCAAAGGAAATCATTTTCCGTTGGAAAGTGGTTAAGACAGCCAACAGAAAAGAGCTAGCAACGGCAAAAAAAGAGCTGGAAGACAGACAAACCAAGTGGTAGGTTACTCCGAGTAGGAAGGGCATGTCAGTTGCGAGGAAAGCATTTGCATTTGCTGTAGTGGATCGAGGAAGCAGCTCGAGGAGGTGTATGTGTATGGCTCGAGGAGGTGTCTATTTTAAGCGAGTCTACGATGAATGTGAGTATCGATGGTTTTGTTCAGGAAGTGTTGATTGATTCAGGGAGAGTGAGTAATTTGAAGGGGAAGGAGTATTTCTTTAAATTGAAGGGATTTGGTTTAAAGGGAAAGATTGAACATTGCTCAAAGAACTTGTTTGTTTATGGAGGAGAGCCAATTGATGTGATTGGTCAGTTTAGAGCTGTATTGTCTGCTGGGAATGTGAAGGTATCTACTGATTTCGTTCTTGTCAAGCGCGGGCGTTGCGTTCTGGAAAATGTAACTACAAGAGAACTGGGTGTTCTTCCACGTAGGACCTAATATGGTCCCAGGTGTAGGCTGGAATACTGTTCAAGATGATTTGGCAAGTGAGCTTAAGATGAAGCATCCTAAACCGTTTCAGGGAACAGGAAAGCTGAAAGATTTCAAGTTGCATTTACATGTTGACCCAAATGTACCTCCAGTGGCGCAAAAGTCAAGGAGACTCTTGTTTGCACTTCGTGGAAACGTTTGTACCAAAATAGATGAGTTGCGGAGGGAAGATAACATCGAGCGATTAGAAGCCCCTACTACGTGCGCGAGTCCCGTTGTTGTAGCACCCAAGCCTTCCGAAGAAATAAGACTTTGCGTGGACATGCGTCGCGCTAGTGAAGAGATCGTTCGTAAAAGGCTGCCTATGCCTACTGTTGATGAGGTCTTGGAAGAGTTAAATGGTTGTACGGTGTTTTCAAAGTTGGACCTTCGCTAGGGATTTCACAAGATAGAGTTACATGAAGATTCGAGGGACACTACTACTTTTATAATCCATGAGGGCATCTTTAGGTACAAAAGGCTCAATTTTGGGGTGAATGTTGCGCCAATTTGGGGGTGAATGTTGCGCTTGAAAAATACCAGCATGTTATCAGGCAAGCAAAAGCAGTAACAGAGGGAGTTGTTAATTTCACAGATGATTTAATATGCCATGGGAAGATTGTGTTAGAGCATGATCAGAGATTGCACAAGTTATTGGCCAAGCTCGAAGAGAACAATCTGACTTTGAACGGTGAGAAGTGTACTTTCAGAATGAATAAAATAGTCTTTATGAGAATTCTCCTTTCTCAGCATGGTGTTGGACCTACGGAGGAGAAAGTGCGGGCCGTGAAGGACGCCAGTCGTCCAACTACACCTTCAGAGGTGAGGAGCTTTCTTTGGCTGGCTGGATTCAGCTCCAGGTTTATTCCAGACTTTGCCACTATCGCAGAACCCCTATGAGCACTTACCAGGAATGGAGTCAAGTTTGAGTGGACCGAAGTACAGGAGAAAATGCTTTCCAAACAATGAAAGAGCAACCAGCAAAAGCGTCTATCCTGGCCTATTTTGACAAGACCGCACACATAAGGGTTATGGCGTATGCAAGCCCGGTAGGACTTGGCGCTTTTTTAGTTCAGGAGGTGAATGGGAAGAGCCGTGCTGTGTGGTATGCTAGCAGGCGTCTAGGTGATGTAGAGCGCAGGTATAGTCAAACTGAAAAAGAAGCTTTAGCTCTGGAATGGGCATCTGAATGGCTTACCTGAGTTGGACTTAGTGACTGACCACCAAGCCTTGAAGACTATAAATGGCCCAAGATCAAAGCCTCAGCTCGTATTGAACGATGGGTATTGCGATTACAGCCTTAAAACTACAGAGTGTGTTTTGTCTCAACAAGGAACAACAGAAGACACGTGATATGGTGTGATTCTGTGGGCGTTGAGAGTTCTAGGTCAGGGCTTAAATCAGAGTGTGCGGATATTTTTCATCAGAGCTTTCTCTGGTTGCTGCGACATGCTGAAGAGCCCCGAAAAGGGCGAGACAGCTGTCTATAGCTACAATCCCGCTCTGTTTTGAGTTCTTTTGGTGTCGTGTTGATGTCTTGCAGAGTTAATTTTCACGTAGTACGATCAGCATTGCAGAATTCTGCTTGCAGAATTTAATATGTCTACTTGAAGTTGCATTGCATTTCCTGTTCTGTGTCACACAAACCACAAGGGGCCCAAGCTCATTACATGAACGCAGACGTGACTCTTGCTTGCGAGCGGTATTGTGTTAAAAACGGTTTTTGCAAAGGTTTATATGGGATGTAAACGGTTTTTCTCAAAAGAGAGAAAAAATGTTATGTTTTTAAATAAAATCAACTTACTTTATTGCTTTGTTGTATTCTTTGTTGTTTGCTCGCGTCTCAAGCCGTTTTGAAGCGTTTTCGGCGAGTTAGCGCTATTTTGGTGTTCCACTGCTAGCGCTAACTCGCCGAAAACGCTTCAAAACTGGCTTAGACGCGAGCAAACAACAAAGAATACAACAAAGCAATAACGTAAGTTGATTTTATTTAAAAACATAACATTTTTTCTCTCTTTTAAGAAAAACCGTTTACATCCCATACAAACCTTTGCAAATATCCGTTTGTAACACAACACCGCTCGCATGCAAGAGTCACGTCCGCGTTCATGTAATGAGCTTGGGTCGCCTGTGCGCAAACGTGACATTCCTGCTCGGTGATATCGATGTGGTAGACGAAGAACCACTATGTGGATGTGCTGTGCATCTTTGGTAGGCTTTAAAAAAAGGCAGGTGTATAAATAGGGTTGCTTAGTATCATATTAAGAAAGTTACAATTCCAAGTTGAAACGCGTGAATTATTTTGAGTTCTAAACAGCTATGGCCTTTCAAACCCCTGTCGACCTCGACAATTTACCAAGAGTATAGATTGATCGATATTCCTAGACGCAAAATGTCATTTGTTAGGAAACGGTTCCCAACAAAATGCACACTACAAGGCATATACCTGTTTAAAAACAAATTTTCTCGGCAAATGGAAAGAGTCCTATCGGGATAAACGGATAAGTATCTTGTTAACCGGGATTATCCTAAGCTATCGTAGCCTGCAGTGTAGGAGTATTTTGGGCAGGCGAACGCTGGTTGTTTATATTCGTACCGGGAGAGGGGTAAGTAAAACAACTATTGAAGTAAAAAATAATATTCATGGCATCGTCTTTAAGACAATAGACTTGTTTGAAACTACGAAAAACTGGTAAGAGACGTTGTTCAACTTCAAAGACATCGTGGCACAGATCGTTTTAAAAGGGTCGCCTGCCGAGAAAGAATATTAGGGACCTTTAGCATCACGTTTTTCATGGGAAACTGCAAACCGCAAACCGCAAAATGTCACGTGACCACGGCCTTGCGGTCACGTTTGCAGTTTGCAGTTCACGTTTGAACCGCAGGAAGGGCTTCCAGCGGTAAGTGATTTACGGCAAGGTTTTTTGCCGCAAAAAAATGTACAGCCTCGCGTTTAAAGGTATGAACTAGCTTTTTATATCCGTTTGCGATGTGTTTGTTGGATTTTTGATCTCGAATCAATGAATTATTGCAGAGTTTTGGGCGATTAAAGTGATGCACTTCGACTTGATGAAAACAACATGGCGGCCGTCAACAATTAACGCGTAGTTCAAATCAATTTTATATTGGTTTCTGCCGTACGAACAAAGGAAAGTATTCTGTTCCAATCCAGTGTTAAATTTTTTATTTCTATCTTGTTCAGTTACAGAATTCATATCTTAACTCAGTCTCTGTTTAGTTCCTATTTTTAACGTATCACTCCGCGAATTTCATTTTATTTTGCTTATTTCTTTGAGACTGGGGAGCCCAGGCTTCATAAAGCCTTCTGGTTTCTTCTGGGCTCCCTTGCAACCTTACAATTCCTATTTGTATTCTTGTATTGTATTATATTTTGCCTAAATAAAAATGAACTGAACTGAACGCCTTGCTAAAGTGTGAAATCTCGCCAACGCGAAACTGCAAACGCGTAACTGCGGTTTGTGGTTTGCGGTTTACCTCATGCTAAAGGTCTCTATTGAAAGGTGGCTCACCTTCGTCAAGCAGTTTGCATAGCATCTAGCTTTGGTAACAATCGCGTTGCTTGGGTTTTCACTGACCGAGTTACTACATCCAGTAAAAATCCAGAGAAAGATAAAAAAACTTGTAGGAATATTGAATGTAGAGCCAGCTAGCCTGCGTTGCAAGCCACATGGTAACATAATCCACACAGTCCAAATATTGTTGATATCTGTCCTGTTCAAAATGAAAGACAGGGATGCATCAGGAATATTGATAATAATATTGATATTCAAATTTGTTGAGGAATTGACGTTTTCGGCCGGCAGTGGGTTAAAATTTTGAGAAGAGGTACTAGGAGATAGTGGGGCATTACACTTTTTGTCTATTATCGTTATTTTTTCGCCTGGGGACATGGTAACTTTGTAACTTTGTAACTTTATTTGATTTACCACAAAATACAAATAACAATAAAACAAGGCAGTTACAGAAAAGCAAATGAAAGTGGCGAGAAAGCCCAAAAAGAAATCATGAGGCTTATAGACATTGGGCTCCCTCAGAGTAAAAATAAAGTCAACAGTAACAGTAAGGCCAGGATCGAAAATTAAATACAATGAAGGTAAGTATAAATTTACTAATTACATAGACTGAGTTGACAAAATATAAGGTATGGTACATGTAACAATAAGTACAAAATAATATCAGACATGTGAAGAAATATAACTATTTACTACAAGATTTATAACTAATAATTCATATAAAATTTATTTTTTCAATTTCGTTTTGAATAAGTGGAGAGAATCAGATTCTTTAATATTATTTTCTATAGAGTTATAGTAAGTAGGTCATTGGAAACTGACAGAAAATTTACGAAGGTTTGTTCTACAAAAAGGAAGGTGAAAATCGTTCGCGTGTCTAGTGGCATAGCTATGGACTTGTTTGTTTAAAGAATTGTTGAACTTTGAAGGCAAAAGAGAATGGTTAAGAGAAAACATAAGTTTACCCAATTCTATTTGTCTGATATCGGAAAGTTTTAGTAGCTCTAATTCTTTGAAAATTGGGTCTGAATGAGAATCGAAAGTTGATTTAGAAATAATTCTGATAACTCGCTTTTGCAAAGAGACAAGACGGCGAAGATTGGTGTTGTACGTAGATCGCGATCCCCAGACAATAATACAATAATGAAGATAAGGATAAACTAAACAATAATAAAGAGTTTTTAGACAGGGTTTAGGTAGAAAAAATCTTGCTCTATTAATGACACCTACTGATTTCGAGATTTTACGAGCTACTTGAGAAATGTACGGTTTCCAAGACAGATGTTCATCAAGGACTACACCGAGGAAGACCGTTTCCTTAACCAGTTCGATTCTCTGTTCATTTATGCATATTTGCATTGGAAAATGATACCTTTTCTGTCTAGGCTTAAATAACATAAAGTTTGTTTTCTTCAGGTTTAAGGAGAGTTTGTTTGC